GACTTCCCTGAACCCACAAGCCTGCCCTGTACCCCACAAGACTTCCCTGAACCCACAAGCCTGCCCTGTACCCCACAAGACTTCCCTGAACCCACGGCCTACCCTGCACCCCATAAGACTTCCCTGCAGCCACAGGCCTGCCCTGTACCCCATGAGCCCACCCTGCACCCCACAGGCCTGTCCTGCACCCCACAGGCCCACCCTGTGCCCATGAGCCCAGACTGTACCCCATGGGCCTGCCCTGCACACCTCTTTCTGGGCATCAGGGACTCTGTCTCACAGGGTCAGCGCCCTGTTTTTTGAAGGAATCAGTAACTCTGAACCCTTTCTGGGGGCTTTGGTTGAGCAGAGACGTGGGCTGCGGGTTCCTGTGCTCAGGCACCCAGTGCTGAGCGCTGAGGAAGGCTGCGGTCTGGGTGCCTGGGTGCCTGTGGGAGGGCCAGGGGAGGGGGCTCGGAGGTGCGACCCAAGCTGCGGCAGCCCCACCCGTGCCAACCAGGCTGCCCTCCTCCAAGCCAACTCCTGGAATCCAGCGGCCTCACGGCCTTCCTCGTGGCCCTGTTCACTCGGGCTGCCTTCTGCACCCTGCCCTGTGCGCCCGCTTCATCTGGGCTGGCCTGCAGACATAAGCACGTGCCCTGAGGTTGCCCTGGGCCTCAGAGCAGCCATCTGGCAGCAGGGGCCAAGGGGTACTGATGCCTCTGGAGGGTGCAGAGAGGTGGGTGGGGGCGAGGGGGCAGGGCCGTGCCTCTGACCTCTCCTTCCTGTGGCCCCACAGGGGTACACCTGCCCAACCTCAGCCAACTGAAGTTGAACGGCAGCCACCTGGGCTCTGTGAGGTGAGTGCCCCTCCTGGGGATCACGGTGGGGGCAGGGGGGTCCTGCAGGGGCTGAGTGAGAGCTCAGTAGGGTGGGGTCTCCCCTGGGTGGACCCCTTGGAGAGGCTCCTGGGTGGGCTCCGGGCCCTAACACCCGCCCTCCAGCCTGACTCTGGCACATGTAGCTCACGTCACCCATGCCCAGTCGGTTGGAGGCACCTGCTGAGGGTGACAGGTGTCAACCAGAGCTGTAGTCATGGTCCGGCCGGTCACGCCAGGCCGTGTGGCTCACGAGGTCTCCAAGGACCCACCCTGGGGTGCCCGGAAGGCACCCACTGACCTTTGGCAAAGGGTCCCCAACCAGCGCGGGGTCTCTGGTGGGCGCCCCAACACCAACCCCGGCTTCAGGGTTTCGGGCACCCCTGCGCCTTTCACTGCAGACCAGGGCAGCGCCCCCACACCAGGAGGGTGGGGAGCATGTGGGTCGCGATGGTGCCCATCACAAGAAGAGCAGATGGGCACAGCCTCTGCCGAACAGAGGCCAGACCACGGACCCCACGGAAGACACAACAGCACTTTAATAATTAGCCTGAAAGACAAAATTCAAAACTAAGGACAGATGAATGGTTTTGTTTATCTCATTGGCCTGGAAAGAACAAAGCTGAAGGAATATCAGACTTTATTTTTGGTGTTTGAGCAAAATTGGTTTCATGAAAACACTGCTGGTTTTACATAGCTAGGGCTAGTCAGCATAAGGCGGGGGATTCCAGTCAAAATTCTAGAAAACTCCCCAGATGTTTTAAATGGGCAGTAAGTGCCCAGTCATTTCCAGGTGAGGCGATAAAGGTATTTATTAAGCAACCTCGCTTTAAATGTTTTCTTGATTTTCCTTATTTATACTGACGTTTATCAAATAGACATCAAAAAAAGTTTTCATGAAACAGTTGAAGACCTGAGAAGGGAAGTAAAGGAAATTGAAAGACTGTCTGGCCCCCAGTGGGCAGCCCACAGCAGAAGCATCACGGGAGGACTCACGGGCCCCGGGTGGCTCCCACATGACCCCGTGTCCCAGTAAGGATCCGGAAAACGGCTTTTCAGAAATGCGCCTTTAATGCACGATTAAGCAATATCCTGACAGAGGTAGCAATACTTCCTTTAGCTTAATAAAGAGGAAAAATGGTATTTATTCCTTCATTGTTAAGGTTTACAAATTTGCTCCAAGAACAATGAAAGAATATAAAATAAAGGATGAAAACCATAACAAGAAGTGGAAGATATTATAAAATTTTAAAAATATGATATACCATTTGTAACAAAACAAAATACTCAATTCCAAGAAAATTTTAAAAATCAATTCCAAGAAAAATGATTAGATCATAAATTTTATGAAAAGATGTTCTGTTCCTTGATGACAACAGTGAAAAATGCAATGACTCTTAAAGTTCTTTCTGTGATTGAATCCTCAAACTCGGCCACATGATGTCTCCAAACCTCCACGGGTTGACAGTGAACAAAAATCTGTAAAAGGAAACTATCTACTAAAATACGACAGTCCAATAAACGATATTGTAGCTTAGCTGGTAATAGAGATGTTAAAGACACTAAAATCCCTGGCAGCATCATGAGGGCTGGGAAGGTTTTCGTGTCGTGGCTGTCAGCACGTCAGAAGCTGAGGGAGAACTCAGCGCCGGCAGAGACCGCCAGTGAGGACGAGCGTTCTCCACCAACGGGGCCGGTTTCCAGATGGCCTCGGCACAGGAGACAGGCATCGATGGGCCTGGTGTGCTGCTCCACGCCAGTCAGACACGGCACCCGTTCCTTAGCACTAGTCGTGTGGAAAAAACCACAGTAACAATCTCTAAAACTCAACTAATTTGGAAATTTTTTAAGTAACTGAAGGGACGTTTTCACTACAACTTCATGGCGTGGCCTCCTCCTATTACTAAGGAGTCAAGCCCCACCTGGGACACCCTGTGCTAATTCCTCAGCTGGGCTCTGCCCTTTTTTGGTCAGCTTCTGCCAGTTCTTGGTGTAGCCTGGGTGCGTTCTGGACTTTGCAAGACTCTGGGCCCCGCCTCCTGCCGTTAACTCTGACGATGGTGGCCTTCACGTGGACAGAAACCCTCCGTGTTGATTTGCTCTAACGCATAGGTTCTGGTTGGTGCTTTGGTGTTATTTAGGAGGCTGGTCCCCACCCCCAAGGTCATGGAGATCTTCTACTTTTTCCTCTACTGACTTTTTACTTGCAGGTCTTTAATCCAACTTATCTGCAAGGCCACCTTCGATTGTGGCATGAGGTTGGGACCCAGCTTTATTTTCCACCATATAGTGAGTCAGTTTTCCCAACACCACCCACCCAGCAATCCGTCATTTCCCAACTGATCATGGTACCATCTCTGCCGTTTCTCAGGTCCACATGTGTATGGAAATATGTTTATGAGCTCTCTGTTTCATCCGTTGGTCTGTTAACATCTGATACCGTCTCTTGGTTCTCCTTTTTCCCAATTGACCTATTCCTGAACACTTATTCTTGCATTGGAATTTTACAATCAGTTTGTTGGGTTTCACACATACTAATCTCTCTGGAATTTTTTTTTAATTAAAAATGATTCACATGTTAATTTGGGTTTATAAGTTAAGTTATATTCATCCATGAATATGGTATAGCTCTCCATTCATGTAAGTAGGCTCTTTAAACTTCCTCTGTGAAGTTTGTTATCAGTTAGAATGCTTTCAGCTGCAAGTTACGGAAACCTGTATTCAACTGGCCAAAACAACGAGAAATTATTTATTCCTTCAGTGCGTACTATGGCCCAAAACCTGTTGTAAACACTGAGGATGCATCAGTGAACAGCACAGATGAGAATCCCAGTCTCCCGTGGAGTAGACAAGAAGCCCAGCTATGGATCTTCCAGGATGGGTTAATTCAGCTGGTCCCTCCTGCCTAGTACGTGACCCTCTATCCTCGTGTGTGTCCCCTCATAATGCATGGGGGCTTCTGCAGCCACAGGCATCCTTAACATTGGTGGGCTGAGGGACTGTGTTAGTTCTCTAGGGCTGCTGAAGGAAGCACCATAAACTAGGCAGCTAGAACAGCAAAAATTTATTCTCTCTTAGTCCTGGAGGCCAGAGGTCAAGAACAAGGTGTTGGCAGCACTGGTTCCTTCCGAGGACTGTGAGGGAGAACCCACTTCATTCCTCTCCCTGGTGGTTTGCTGCGATCTTTGGCATTCCTTGGCTTGTAGACAGATCACCCCAATCTCTCCCTGCATGCTCACATGGCGTTCTCCTTGTGTCCGTGGCTGTGTCTAAATTTCCCTTTTTATAAAGACACTATTCATATTGGATTAGGGCCCACCCTACTCCAGTATGACCTCATCTTAAATAATTCCATCTGCAACGACCCTATTTGCAAATAAGGCCACATTGTCAGGTACTGGGGGGTTAGGACTTCAACTTGTGAATTTGAGGGGGGTCACAATTCATCCCATAACAGGCGATGTGCCTTCCTGTGTCCATCAGTAAAAACGAGCAGAAGGTTCCCAGCGTTCTTCCTGTGTTTCTCTAGCTAGAACTGTATCATGTACACACTTTCCTGCACCGACCACTAGCAAGGGCGTGGAATTATGATTGGCGTGGGCTTACCAGGAGCCCCCTTCCCACCCCTCTGCCACCTGGGACAGGGCAGGACACCAGCCTCCTCTGGAGCCAGGGCTCCCTGAAACCAGGACTAAATGAATGCCCACATATTTATAGTATCTTTACAATCATGAACGAGGTCCTGTTTCTGTTGTATTTTCTGGTTGATTATTGGAAATGCAGAGAAACACTACGTTGATTTAGAAAAGATTTTAAAAATCAGTAAAACACTACTGATTTTTATAAATGGATCTATTATATCTGGCAATATTGTATCTTTATTTTGTACTTAGCAATATTGCCAAACTCTCGTAATTCAAATAATTTGTTAATTCATTTGGGGTTTCTGTATTGATGATCACATTATCAGCAAGTTATGAGAGTTGTCCTTCACTCCCAATCTTCATGCTTCTTTTTCTTGTCTTATAGCCTTGGCCAGGACCTGTTAGCCAGTACAATGTTGCATAGACATATAGACACATTACACATATACAGTAGTAGGGATGGTAGCAGGCATTCTTGGTTTGTTCCTGATCTTAATGGGTATATGTCTAAGTTCCTTGGCATCTGTTGACATGATCATAGAATATTGTACTCCTAATGTACTGGACTCCACTGACAGACTGTGATGGTCATTCATCCTTGCATTCCTGTAGTAGCACTACTTGACCATGATGAATTATCTTACAATCTGTTTTCATGAGTGACAGCCCTTGACTTCCCTAGTATTGTACTTCTCTGGTTCCAGGATCAAGGACTGACTCATAAGGTGCCTCTCTCCCTTTTGTTGTTCTTTTCAACTGCTCTATTTTTTGAAACTTCCTGTATGAGAAATCATTGTAGAAGATAGAGATTGTCTATTCCATGATAGTTAATTAGAACTTACTTTTAAAACTGGTCCAGGGCCGGCCCCGTGGCTTAGTGGTTAAGTGCACGCGCTCTGATGCTGGCGGCCCAAGTTCGGATCCCAGGCACGCACCGACGCACCACTTCTCCAGCCATGCTGAGGCCGCGTCCCACATACAGCAACTAGAAGGATGTGCAGCTATGACAGACAACTATCTACTGGGGCTTTGGGGGGATAAATAAATAAATAAAGTTTAAAAAAAAAATTTTTTTTAATAAAAAATAAAAATAAAACTGGTCCAGATCTGGGGACTTGGTGGTGGGGAAGGGGGTGCACAAATCACCATTTAATTTCTTTAATGGCTATTAGTCTAATCAAGTTTTCTATTTCTTTTGGTGCCAGCTTTGTCTAGGTTTTCAAAATTGTTGGTATATACTTTCTTCATAACGGTCTCTCATCGTTTTAAATTGCTGCGTGGCTGTAATCATTCCTCTTTTTAAGTTCTCTATATTTACTTGCATTGTCTCTCTCTTTACCCTTGATCAGTCTCGCCAGAGGACTGTCTGTTAATTTTTTAAAGAATCAGCTCTGGGCTCTGTTAATCTTCTCTATGATGGTTCTGGTTGTTCCTAGTTTTATCCTAATTTATTATGTCTTTCCTGCTTGTTCTTTTTCTTATTTGCTGGCATTCTTTTTCTAGCTCCTTGAGCTGAATGCCTAGCTTAATTGTTCTAATCCTTACAGTTTTTTGATAAATACATTTAAGGATCTAAATTTCTCTTCATGTACGGCTTTTGGCACGGTTCCACACATTTCGTACACTTTGCTTTTTGTCGTTAGTTCTAAGTATTTGGTAATCTTCCTATTTAATCTGAGGTGAGACAAAATCTACTAGTAATTCCCCAATCCTTATTCTTCTGTAACACCAGGATCCCCCACGTTTAGCGGGCCACATAGCCACCCCAAGGAAACCAGAGGTTTCCCAGTCTCCCCTGCAGCCAGGCCTGGCCGTGTGTCTTGGGTCTGAACCACAGGTCACAAGCAGAAAGACGTGTGCAGACTCTGAAAAGAAAGGGAAAGCAACAAGAATACCATCACAGAAATGAAGACAGACTTGAAAGAAATATCATCCTGCAGGAAACGCACACGAGACGGTGTATGGAAGACAGGACAGACTCCCAGAGACAGAGGGCAGACAGAGGAGGTCTGAGATGGGCATCATTGAAACCTCTGCAGAAGGAAACTGAAATAATAGAACAGAACAAATATTTAAAGATTAAAGAAAATTTTTCAGACATAAAAGATGACTTTCATCCACAAATTGAAAATGAATTGCCCACACTGAAACATATCCTAATAAATTTACCAGACTTCAAGATAAAATTTGGGGGCAGCCAAGAAAAGAGATCAAGTCGTCTTTTTTTTTTTTTAATAATTTTATTTATTTATTTATTTTCCCCCAAAGCCCCAGTAGATAGATGTATGTCATAGCTGCACATCCTTCTAGTTGCTCTATGTGGGACGCCGCCTCAGCATGGCTGGAGAAGCGGTGCGTCGGTGCGCGCCCGGGATCCGAACCCGGGCCGCCAGCAGCAGAGCGCGTGCACTTAACCGCTAAGCCACGGGGTGGCCCAAGTCTTCTTTAAAGAAGAAAAGAAATGCAGTTTTCCTCAGACTTCTACGCAGAAACACTCAAAGCCAGAAGACAGCAGAAGGACGCCAACACAGCCCAGCGGAGAGAAGGCACGAACCAAGAATTTCACACCCACCAACATTTTGAATGAATGAGAGATGGAAGGAAATAGTTTCATCAGCCCCTCTGAGAGAAATGACTAGACACAAGTTTCAGCCAATTAACAGATGATTGGAGGGGCCGGCCCCATGGCGTAGTGGTTAAGTGCTCGCGCTCCGCTGCTGGCGGCCCGGGTTCGGATCCCGGGCGCACACCGACGCACCACTTGCCAGGCCATGCTGAGGCCGCGTCCCACATAAAGTGGAGGAAAATGGGCATGGATGTTAGCTCAGGGCCAGTCTTCCTCAGCAAAAAGAGGAGAATTGGCATGGCTATTAGGGCTGATCTTCCTCACAAAAAAAAAAAAAAGAGAGCAAGATGATTGGAAAACCCAGTTAAGGTGATAGATGAGACAAACATAGCGTCTCTGTAACTGAAGGACAAAGACGACCACTCCTGTGGAGATGAGGGTGACAGAACAGAACACAGAAACTCAACAGACGGGCTAAACGGTGGCTGAGTCATAAGCAAAGGGAGATTTGTGACCTGGAAGATGGATCTGGAGAAATTACCCAGCCAGCAGAGAGCCTGTGAGATAAGGCGCCCTGTCCACACAGGTGAGGGGAGGAGACGGCCTTTAAGCAGGGAGAGGAGCAAGCACCCCATCCTGAGGATGCAGGGTGCTCTCCAGGGACACCTGGAAACAGCGCGGCTGGAGTGGGGCACCACTGGGGAGACGTGGCAGCCCTGTGCCATCAGGGGAGTCATGCATGGGGCCACTGCCACTTCCAGCAACTGGTCCCCACCAAAGAAGCCACCTCACGACTGCATCACCTAACAGAGAAGCCCCCCACATCAGGGTCCCCAGTGGCTCGGTACCTCCAAGCAGCATTTCAGATCCTCGCTCCCCATCTGAAAGCCCAAGAAGCTATTAATAGTATAATCAGAAATATTACGAGCCCTGCGCATGAAAGGGAAAGGTCGAAACAAACCCAGAGGATCCCCAAGGAAACAGAGACGATGCGAGGAGGGGAGTAAAACCTCCAAAACTCTCCAACTAATGTTCTGAGAGACACAGAAGGAGATGTGGCTTCTCTGCATCTTTGAAACAAGGGCAGCACGCTACAAGAAAAGACCAGAGAACAACGAAGACCACTTGGCAATTAAACACACAACAGCCAGCACAAAAATGTTTATAGCAACGTGGGAAGACGAGGAACCTCCCATCAAGCAGAAGGAAAGGCACAGAGGTGGAAACAGGAGAGAGGCAGAGAGAGGACGAGGCTCGTTCTCAGAGGATGAGTGGCAGAGCTCCTGACGGGAGACCAGAGAACATGGAGGAGAGAAAATGACAAGAAATCACGTGGAGAACATCCCAGAAGCCAATGGAAAGGAGATGCAGCGGTGGACCCTGCCCTGTCAGGAGACCTGGGACACACCAGCTGAGAGGAGCCCGCACACAGAGGTGGGGCCCTGAGAGGCCGGGGGCAGAAGGTCTGCCTCCCATAGTTGTTCTAAGATGGGGGAGCCCTGGCCTGCCCATCTGCAGGTGGCAGGGACAAGTCCAGGACACAGGCAGGGGACTGGCCCCAGGCAGAGGGTGGGGGAGGTCTTGCAGGCACAGCTGGGCTAGGGGAGGGGCTGTAACTTGGGGAAGTCATTCACAAGAGAGGCCGAGGGAGAGAGGAGCAGAGAGGGAAGGCAGGGAGCTAGGGCTGGACCCTACACTGACCTCCCTGGGGAAGGGGCTGTCTCACCCACCCCCATTACCATGGGCAGCAGGTGCGGCTGGGCTGAGCCGTCCAGCACCAGGGCAGCTCCCCATAGCCAGGCCCAGGCCTACCAGGGGTCACATTCTGCCCGTGACTGAGACTAGAAGGCTGCAGCAAGGAGGGAAGGCAGGGAGCTGGGGGGCTCTGGAACCCCTTCCTTAGCCTGGAGGCTGCCATGAGCCACAGTCACAACCGCCCCTGCACCTGGAGACAGCCAGACGTGGGTGGTGGCTGGCACAAGGCATGGCACAGAGCCGTCATGGCCACAGACACAGCCCTCCACCCCAGGACAGCACTGACCAGCCAACTCTGCCCTCTGCAGAGACCTGGGCACCTCCCTGGGCCGCCTGCAGGTGCTGTGGCTGGCTCGCTGTGGCCTGACTGACGTGGATGGCATCGGCTCCTTCCCGGCCCTGAAGGTGGGTCTGGTCACCCTGGGCTAGGGAGAGGACACCAGGCCAGGCCCTGGCTGAGGCCCCCCTGCTGCCCCAGGAGCTCTACGTCTCCTACAACGATGTCTCGGACCTGAGCCCGCTGTGCCTGCTCGAGCAGCTGGAGGTGCTGGACCTGGAGGGCAACAGCGTGGAGGACCTGGGGCAGGTGCGCTACCTGCAGCTGTGTCCACAGCTGGCCACACTCACCCTGGAGGGCAACCTGGTGTGCCTGCGGCCAGGCCCCGGCCCCACCAACAAGGTGCGTGTGGTGGGCACCCAGCCAGCCCAGCGCACGGGAATGGGAGGCACTCTGTAGCTCCGGCCCCCTGGCTCTCCCACGGCCCAGGACTCCTTGCCCACCTGAACACTGGCCACGACCAAGTCAAGGAGTAGGAGGGTCCGGGGCACATCCCCCGGGCACAGCCCACCTGCGGCCTGTGGCTTGTTCACTATGAGCTCATTCTCCTGTGTGCTGGAGGCCTGGCAGCCGCCAGTGCATCCTCGTGGGCCAGGACAAGACCCCACAGGGCCACGTGCACACATGCCATGCCCCCCGGCCCACGCATCCACCCCCGTGAGGTCCGTGCACATGCCATGTGGAACCATGCCTGCTCTGTACAGTCTCCACGTAGAATTGTGTACACACAAACACGCACACACCTGTGCAGGCCTCGTCCAGAGCCACCCGCGTCCCCCACAGGCCTGTGCATGCCCTACGTGGAATGCACTCAAACATCACAGGCCTGTGCACAGCTTACACAGCTGTACACACCCCTGCACTGCCCACGCAAGCCCAGAGCTCACGCTGCCTGCCCTGCTAGCTGCTGCTCCGTGGTGCCAATGCACAGTGGCCACCCAGCTCAGGGCAGCTCCATAGGCCAGAGGGCACCACTGGACCCTGGCTGTGAGCCTGGGGCGTGAGGCCACGTGTAGGTGAGAGTCCAGTCCCTGGTGTCCAAGAGCAACCTAGGCCAGCCCTGGCAGGGTGGGGCAGCATAACCAACCCCCGCTCCCCTGCCCTGCCCCACAGCAGGTCTGGGGGAAGCAGCCACACGATAAAGCTGGCCTGAAGGGCCCACTAGATCCAGGCCTGCCACCCCCCTCCACCCTGCAGGTGCCTCCAGGCTACAACTACCGGGCAGAGGTGACAAAGCTCATCCCCCAGCTGCAGATCCTGGATGAGGTTCCAGCCACACACACAGGCCTGCCAGCCTCCTGGAAGCTGGACCAGGACTGGCTCATGGTGAAGGAGGCCATCAAGGAGGGCAGTGTCCTGGACGGCCTGCTCCCCGGGCTGGGTATGGCAGCCACCCACCTGGTCTCTGTCCAGGGCTGCCCCACCTGGCCTAGAGACCGCGGCCCCTGAACCCCAGGAGCAGTCTCCACCCCCGGGAGGAGAGGTCTCCGCCTCCATTTCCCCCCTGCAGGCCTCTCAGAGATGGATAGCTACATCTTGTATCCCTTCTCAGCCTTAACCCCTCGTCCCCAGAGCCCTGCACACCTGCCCCCAGGCCAGGACACCCTCCCTGTGAGCAGCACCCAGTGGGGGCCTCCCCACCCATCTGCAGAGGCAGAGAAGGGCCAAAACCTGCCACCCTGTGGCACTGGGCCTCAGGACACACAGATGGTGGGTGGCGGGGGTCCCTGGTCTGTGGACAGAATCTGGGGGAAGCTCTTGGGCTGAAGCTGGCCGGCCAGCATGGGCCGCAGTGACCTCTGATTTTGACTCTCGGACAGATCGACCCCACGGAGCCCCCGTTCGGAGACTCAGCCCCAAGTTGTCCCTGCCTGAGACCCAGCCCCGGGCCCCTAGGCTCTGGCCCCTCTCCCTGCTGGTCCCTGAGGGCCCCCTGCCTGAAGACCTGCTTCCCAAGGCCCTGGCCCCAGAGGAGGACGCCAGCACCCTCACCCACGGTAACTGATCTACCTCGGCGTGAAGCAGCCCTGGCAGCCCCTCAGCCCCAAACCAGGTGCAGACACACCCTCTTCTTCAGGCGCTGGCCGAGTCCTCTGCGGGAACCCCAGCAAAGGCCTGCGGGAGCGTCGGCACCAGTGCCAGGTAGACCCTGCCCCCCCAAAGTGGGCCCAGACTCCAGGACGCCCGCAGTGGACCACCCTCCTGGGCTCTCCTCCAGAGTAGACCAGTGTCCTGGCCTGACAGTACCCTGCCTTATAGCCATTCCGGGGGCCCCCAGCTCTCCCACACCCTCCCCAGCTGAATAAGTCCTTCTGTCCCCAGGCTACTGCCCACCTAGCCCCCTCGAAGGCCGTGCCCCCAAACCAGCCCTTTCCCTCCCCAGGCCTGGGCACCCCCAGAGCAGCTGCCCCCACACAGGCCAGAAGACCTGGCAGCCAGTGCCTCCACTCCAGGGCCTGACCCTGTGGATGACCATAACCTCCTGGCCTTGGCTAGGCTTCAGGCCTGGAGGGAGCTGCACCTGAGGTGGGTGCCCCTACCCTGCCAAGCCCCACCACTTTGTGTGTCCCCCATCTGGTGGGGCAGCGGGGGGCTGCCTTGGCCGAGCAGTCACTGGTCCCAGGATGGCTGGAGGAGCTGGTCATGGGAGCCCAAGGCTGGGGGACCATCCCAGATTGACTCCAACGCGGGGGGTAAGGGGCAGGGCTACAGCCTCTCCCCCTCTCCGCACCTCAGCCCCCTCCCCCATAGGCACCTGGAGTCCCAGCAGGAAGGGGCCACAGCCCCCCGGTGCCCACCAAGAGGCCCTGAAGAGCAAAAGGACCCAGCTGGGCTCAAGACACCCCCCAGCCCCCCAAGTCCGGCCCCAGGTACTGAGAGTGATGCCACACACCACCTTAGGATGGGAGCTCACCTCAGACCAGCCCCCCTTCCTCAGCCGGGCTCTGAGAGGGGCTGTGACAGGGAGGTCCTCTCCTGGGGGTGGAGGGCTCACAACTAAGGGGGTCCAATCCCAAGTGCCCCTGCCCTGAGCCCATGGGACCATGAGGGGCTGGATGCAAGAGAGAGAGAAGGTGCCCCAGCAAAGGGCGGTGTGAGCAGAGGCCAGAGGGCCCAGGCTGAAAGAGTGAGCCCCAGGGAGGGAGCAATGAGGGGCCGGGACCACTGAGCAGGACAGGCCCACTGGGCACTTCTCAGGGGAGCAGGTGCAAGGCTGGCGAGGGAGGGAGGCCACCAGCTGGGCCAGGAGAACGAGGCAGGGAGGGGTGCCGCCTTCACCCTGAGGACAGGGCCTGTGCTGGGCTGGGACACAGAATTAAGGCAGGGAGGCCCTCCCTGAGGGACACTGGCTTCAGAGTGACCCCAGCTGAGTGGAGCAAAGGCAGGGGCTGCGAGGCACAGACCCCTCACCCAAGAGGGCCCAGGGAGGAAGGGTCTGAACGGACCGGTGGAACAGCTGGTTGGTGGCAAGCTTGGGGAGGGGAGGGGGCATCGTAAGCAGCGGGCAACAGGAGCACAGGCTCAAGGTTGGCCGAATGACGCTCCTGGGGGGTGGGCAGAAAAGGGGCTGGGATGGAGCAGGGACGGGGCTGGCCAAGCCTCTGCCCTTCCAGGTGCTGGCTGGTGTCTGGGGGAGGGGCCCAAGACCAGCTGGTCAAGAAGGGTCAGCAGCCAGCTATCTAGTGGAGAAGTGGAGGGAGAGCAGAAGACGGGTGGCTGGAGTGGTGACAGACGTGGGGACTCAGGGACAAAGCGTTGCCAGGGCCTTCCACTCCAGGCCAGGTCCAGGTGGGCACTGGGTGACCACCGCTACAGTTGCCCAGTCTACCCTGAGGTGGGTGCTGGGGCCTCTCTCTATAGCTGAGGTTTAGGAACTGGCCCAGGGCCACCAGCCCATGAGCAGGGACGGGACCCAGTGACCCAAAGCCAGAGCCCAGGCCTGTGGCCTCTGCCTCCCCAGAGGTGGGTCCGCCCCAAGCAACAGTCAGAGGTCCCAGGGCTGAGAAGCCACAGCTTCCCTGCAGAGCACAGAAATGGAGCAGGGGTTGCTGCCTTGGGTGGTGAAGGGCTAAGGGGAGGAGCCACAGTGGACACTATAGCTCTGCCTGTGGTGACCCCCCACCTGCTGATTCCTTGGGGGCCCCTTGTCTGACACGCTGTCTCCTCGTTTTCCAGAGCCTTCCAGGCCCTTGGGCTGGAACCTGATCCCCTCTCCCCCCAAGTTCCCCACGCCACCTGATTCGGGAAGCACCTCCCGGGGGTCCGCAGACCTGCAGTTCCGGCATCGGCGGCTCAGAGCCCTGGGCAGTGTGGGGCCTGGCCTGGGTCAGGGGCTGGCTGCTGTGACTGCTCTGAGAGCCCTAGAGGTGGCCTCAGGCTCGAGCCCTCGAGCCCAAGGATGTCCAGATCCGGCAGCCAGACCCCCAGGTCTCCGGTGCATGCCACGCCTAACCCCTATCACCCCAGCCCAATCCCACCCCTAGTGTAAACCACCACCCACTGCCAAGCTGTCCTGGACTTCAGCCAAGATGCCGCAGTGTGGTCGTGGGAGCCCCATGTGAACTGGGGCAGGTGTGTTACCCAGTGGGAAGTGGGCCTGGCACAGGAGAGGCCCCTCTTGGTGGAGAGAAGTGGGGCTTGGGACCAGCAGGGGAGGGCACAGGTGAGAGCCCAGAGTAGGATGGCCAGCTTGCCGCCGCTGGCCCAGCTGCCCACTCCTTCCATGAGGCCTGGCTTTCCCAGGAGGAGTGGTCAGAGGCGCAGGCCTGGAAGAGCCTGCGTTGGGCCCAGGCGGAGCTGAGCCCCGTCCACTCCCTGGCAGGCACTCCAGCTGCCCCAGGGCTCTGCCCCTGGGCTGCTGTGGTCCCAGGTGGAGGCACTTGCCCTAGGCCAGGCAAGGTGCGGCCAGGACTCCCATCCCTGGTGGATTTGTGGGGCTCCCTCTTGGGGCAGGACATCCAGAAACAGAAAGCGAGCGAATCATTTTCGACTCTCAGGTGTACAGAATGCAGTTTACTTTGTAAGCGAAGTTGGTTGAATAAATTATGCAGCTGGCACTGCCTGCCTCCCACCACTTTCTCCCCGCTCTTCCGTCATTCCCGGGCGCCCCCGCCCCCGCACTGCCCCCTCCGTCCTGGGCGCCCCCCACTCCCGCGCTCTCCGCCGGCGCAGTCACGGAGACGGCCCGGTGAGCGCAGGCGCCTGTATTGCCCGCCCGCTCCCCCGCCCGTCGGCGCCGCCCCACAGCCGCCCTACACCCGCCCGCACCGGTCCGCGGTGATGGGCGGGCAGGGGAGGAAGCGGAAGCCGAATCTGCTCTCGGCCGTGCTCTGCACCGACAGCGCCACCATCGGGCAGCTCCGGTCCACGCTCTTCCGGCACACCTGCGGGGCGCGGAGCCTGAGCGGCGCGCGGTCGGGGGCGGGGCGGGACCTGACCAGGTGGGAGGGGCGGGGCGGAGCCGGGCGGGGGGGGCCCGGACACCCGCACGCGCGCACTCACCCGGACCTTGTGTTCCTTCCTAGCCTGGCCGACCTCCAGGCCCAGCCCGGCCTCTGCGTGCGACAATGACAGGGTGGGGTCGGGCCGGCCGCCCCCTCCCTGCCGGGCCGCGCCTGCCTCCGCGTCCCCGCGCGCGCTCACCGGGGAGGGCGGGCAAGAGCTCCGGTGTGTGGGTCTCGGTGCGCTCGGGCCGCGCCAGCACCTCCCGCGCGCGGAAGAGCTTGCAGACGCTCAGGAGTGGCAAGAGGACCCGCGTCCTGGGGGGGGCGAGGGGGTTGTGAGGGCCCGAGCCTCCCCCCCCGGGAAGGAGCGGTCCTGGCGGGGATGGGGCCTGGGGAGGTAGGGGGCCGTCCTAGCAGGGGATTTTGGAGGACAGGTTTTGCGGGAGCGGGGCCTGGGGAAGAGGCGAAGACCGAGGGATCCCCGGTCCCTACCTCGGCCTCCAGCGCCCGGCCCGGTCCTCCCGCACCCGGCCTTTGCGCGGGAGTTGAGGCCGGCGCCGCTGGTCATCCGGGTCGGCCCCGCGCCCGGCCTCTGAGAGCGGGAAGCGGTCGATGGACAAGTCAGTGTTGTCGGCGAAGACCCTAGAGAGGGGGGTCACGCAGTGCGGGGCCTGGTACTCGCTGAGGACCTGCGGGGCCGGCAGGGCGCGGCGGTCACCCCCACCCGGCGAGGCCCGCCCCCAAACCTTCCCCTCGGCTGGGACTCGCACTGACCTCGCCCTTGGGGTTCAGGAGGCGAGTCACGCAGCTCCGGCCGGAGTGGAAGTGGACAGGCTCGTCGCCCAAGGACGAGGGCGGCTGCTTCCTGGTGCCGGGGGGCCCCTCACCCCACACCTGCGGACGGCGGGGCGGGGCGGCGGGTGAGGGGCGGCGGGCCCCGGGCCAGGGCCCGCGCCGGGAGCGGGAGAGGGGCGCACCGTGACGTGGTGGCGCGGCGCCAGCAGCGTGCCGGCCGGGAAGCGGTAGATGCCCACGGGGAAGTCGCGCACGAGCTGCTGCAGCGTGAAGCCGCCCAGGTCGGCCGTCTCCTCCAGCGACTGGTTGAGGATGCGGACGAACCTCTCGCGGCGGCTCACGGCCACGATCTTCAGGCAGCAGCCGGAGGCGCTGGGGCGGGAGCGGGAGAGAAAGGGCGCTGTGCGAAGACGTTTGGGCCCCGCCCACCCAGACCCTCTAGGAGACCGGCTCCTGCCCCTGCGCTCCGTGCTGGGTCACCCCTCACCTCCAACAGTGCCCGGGATGCCCGGGGTCGGAACCTGAAGAGGACTCGGGCACCAGGGCGACGGTCTTTCCCGGCAGGTCCCCGTGGGTTTTCTGGAGACCTGTCCGGGAGGGGGACCCCCCTATAGAGCGCCCACTGGGGACATCTGCGAGACGGGACCCGGCCTGCAGCGCCTTGAGGGTCCATACGGGAGAGGAGCAGCACCCGGGGTCAGAGCCAGGGCAGGAGGGATGGCTGGACCCTGGGGGCTGCAGAGGAGTAGCTGGCAGTACTTGGGGGGGGGTGCGGTTCAAGGCAGAGCACGGAGGCAGCCGCAGGAGTCCCCCAAAGACCACCGTAACCCGTAGCGATGAGGCTGGAGAGAGGCCCCAAGGGCCTCACTCTGGGCTACCCTAAAGGTCAGGCGGTTGGGGACGTCATTTAGGGCTTTGGACAGAGATCACAGCCCTGCAAGGGCAGGAGGGAGCAGTAACCAGGGGAGACGTGCCCACCACCTTCACGCTCTGCCTGGTCGTCCCCGCTGAAGATCCTGGCCTGTGCCACTATCTGCTCAGAAGCACGGTGTGGTGCCCGGGGCGGGTGCCCCGTCAGCTTCTGCTTGCGATAATGCCTGGCCAGCTGGCAGCTGCTGGAGTTGGAGTAGGAGCCCCCCGAGCTGCTGGTGCCCTCCAAGGGCAGGGAGCTCCACTCCACGCTCTTGAGACGCTGCTCCACGCGGCGCTTGCGCAGCTCCGAGCCCCACTCCTCAGGTGATGAGGCTGGTGAGAGCTGTGGGGGCAGCGGTGGCCGGGAGTGCCTGCAGACCACAGTCCACTCGCTGCCCACTGGACTTCGGCTCCTGGACCCCAGCCCTAACCCCCATCCAGCCTCTGCAAGTTGTGGTCCTGGTCCCTAGGATCCAGCCTGGGAAAAGGGCTCATGGCAGGCTAGAGATAGCTCAGGAGTCTTTTCCCTTCATCCCTAATCTCATCCTACAGAGCTGAGAACTGATGCTTGGGAGGCCTAAGTGACTTGTCCAGGGACGCTAAAGGGTGGACCTTGGACCCTGGTCCACATCTGCCAAGGCAAGCTCTCCCGGCCCCTCGCCCCTGGGGGAGTCCTGCCCAGCACAGTTACTTTTGATCTGAGCTGGACTCCATGTTGGTGAAGAGGTTGGGGTACCGGTGGGCAATGCTGTTCCAGTCCACATCCTCCAGCCGGAAACCCTGGCCAGGAAGCAACAGGCATGTGACCCTCCCCTCCTGCAGGGCTGCAGAGCCATGTCGCACGTGGGGGGCCTTGCTCACCTTCCCAGCAGTGCGGGCCTGCTCGTTCTCAGAGAGGTCACTGGAGTCCACCAGGGTCTCTGCAGTCACTACCTGCAGGAGGGGACAGGAGGCCAGCGGGCAGGGGCTGGGGGCAGGGCACCCTTCCCCCCGACAGCACCTGTCCTATTTGACCTCACCAGCACCTGAGGCACACACATGCTGAGTGTCAGGTGGGTGGGACCACAAGGTTCGTGGTTGCTCCCTGTCCCATCCACGGTCCCAGAGGCAGCCTGAGGGGAGCAGGCTTCCCAGGCAGGCCAGAGCCCCCAGGAGAAGCACCAGTTGAAGGGGCACGCTGGCTGTCAAGGGAGGTCCAGGGAAGGCTGGGGAGGGCGGCGTGGGAGACAGGAGGGGCAGTCGAGTGGGGCAGGGCCCCAGGGACACAGGCTTACCTCCACGCTGCCAGTGGAAGATCGCAGCATGCGGCCGACCCAGGAGGAGTGGGCCAGCTGCAGGAGGCAGGACTTCTGGTAGGCCTGCAGCTCGACCTCCAGCTGCTGCAACGTGTTCATGGTCTGCTGCAGCTGCTCCTCCAGGTGCGCCCTCTCCTGCTCCAGGAGGGCCCAGAGGTGGGGCGGGGCCTTCTCCAGACCCCGCCCCCAAGGCCGGCCCCTGACCCTCACCCAGGCTTGGGTCCCCTGCCCAACTCCCAGATCCCACTCGCGCCTCACCAGCTGGGCCTGTTCCTTCTGCTCTTTCAACTCCAGAGTCAGCTTCTGGACCTGGTTCTGCAGGAACTTGTGCTGCCTGAACAAACTCCTGGGGGAAGGGGCGACCTCAGCAGCCCCCCCTCTGGGTCAGCAGCCAAGGAGGGGAGAAGGAGGGACTCCTCTTCACCGCCACTAGGGCCCGAAGGCACAGAGTGTGGCTGGGCCAGGCCAGAGCAGGCTCTGAGGTCTGGGTCAGAGGTGGGGTCGAGGTTGGGTTCAACATGTTCAAGGTTAGGCGCTGGGCAGGTTTACAGAACAGTAACTTTACCAAGGTCAGGTTGGGGATCTGGGACAGATGAGGGCTAGGGCCGAAGGCAAAGGTCAGAGTAAGGGTCAGGGCTGGGGTCAGGTTGGAGTCAGTGGTTGGGGTTAGGGTCAGACAAAAACCAGGAGTTAGGGCCAGGAGGAGGCTGGGTTGGGCCAGGGGCGAGCGTTTCACTGCTGACCTGTCGGATGGAAGCCCAGCCACCTCCTGCAGGATGTGGCAGTGCCGGGCGTCCCAGCGGTTCTGCATGGCCCACCGCAGGGCCTGGATCTCCAGTTCCCGCTGCCCCCACAGCAGCTGCAGGGTGCGGAGGTCCAGGGACTCAGGGGCCAACCTGCAATGCCGGTGCCCCGGCCTCTTGATCAGGCCCTGCCCCCTGGCTGGCTGGCCCGAGTGGCAACCACCCCTTCTCCCAGCTTACTGCAGGTTGGCGGAGAAGACCACCCGTGTGGAGCCGGGCTTGGTGTACTGCGGGCACTCGGGAGCCACCGGGCCTGTGGGTGTGTCAGCTGGAGGCCCCAGGTGGCCACTGACCGGCTCTCGGTCCAGCCGGCATGGGAGAGCCTCTTCCTCAGCTTCTTCAGTCTCCTGGCGAGACTCGGGGGCCATTCTCGATGTTCTTGGGGGGCTGAGAGGGGTGGTGGGGCTGTCTGCCCTGTGTCCTGTGTGAGGGCACCCCTGCAGGGCTCTCCTTACATGGCCACACGCACGCACGTGTCTCACAGCCCAGGGACAGGACCGCTGGTTCACGGGGCTTCAGTCTCCAAGGAGGCCCGCGTGTGTATGTGTGTGTCTACCCCACAGGACACCAGACCGCCGGTCCCGTGGGTGTCCACCCCTGTGTGTTTCTGACCAGGCCAGGGCAGCAAGTCACCACCTGGGCAACACGTCACCTGGTGTTCGCACATTCCCTGTTGTCTCCTCACTGTCACTCTTCCCTCCAGGACCTGAGATCCTGCCCCTCAGCCTAGAGCAAAGGGTCCCCAGGGGTGCTGGTCCTTCACCTGCAACGCCCGTGTCCCCTCAAACCCAGGGCCCTACCCCCAACGCTCACCTGAGGCCAGAAGTCCAAGCCTGCCTGGGGAGGAGAAAGGCTCTATATCGTTGCCATGGATACCAGCACCCAGAAGGGGCGGGGCTGTTTGTTACCTGGAGCCTCCAGGGAGACCCCAGACCAGGGCCCCTGAGTGCACCCTCCTAGTCTAGACTGAAGGAGAAGCTGTGAGAGCCTGAGCTGCTGCCCGCTAACCTCAGCAGGCCCAGGGGACCAGAGTGACTAGCCTGGCCTGCCATGGTCACCCACTCAGCCTGGGGAAGGCTCCCACAGTCCCTTTCCAGCTTGAGCACGGCGATCGGTGGGTATTGGGAGCACTGCTGCCCTGTGAGTGTGTCCACAGGCCAGCAGGACCACACTCCTGAGAATGTGGGCCCGAGCTGACTGGGAAGGGGGCAGAAGAAGCAAGAGATTGCCCTGAGAAGCTGGGGGGCTTGCTGAACTCTAGCCAGCAATAGGCCTCCTCCTGAGTGCTTCCCACAGCCTCTTTGCCCTCAGTGGCTGATGCCCACCTACCTAACCCCCAGCCAGAAGCCTCACCTTCCCCATTTCCACCACCTGGGCCACCACAGGGAGTCCTGGGGACATTCCCATAACCATGACAACTGTTCCCTCTGCCCCAGGACAAAAGTGAGGCCCCAGACCTGACCCACAAGACCTGTGCCCTCCAGCCTTGGCCCCGTCCCACCCCACCTCACCTTCATTCATCCCTCATCCATTCATTCAGACTTTCAACTTGTGCTCAGGCAGGGCCTCCAGTGCTGGGCAGGACACAGGCAGGCGGGAGGACCTCCCACTGCCCAGTCTGACTGGGGCAGAACAGGCCCTGAATGCCCTAGCTGCTGGTCCACACAGCACAGAGCCTGCGAGGGGCCCTCATGCTGAGCTGGCTTGAGTTCTCGGGTGGGCCAGGCAGAGGAGTGTGTCCACAGCTCGGGAGGGATCTGGGCCCCAACGGGGGCAAGAAGGGGTGGGGAGAAAGAGCCTTAGACAAAGAGCCCAGAGCCTTTGTCCGCGGCACCCTCAGGGCGGGCCCCCTCCCCTCCAGAGCGCCCGGCCCACTGGCTGCAGCCCACCAGCTCCAGCTCCCTCCCGCGGGGCTCACAGTCGCCCACCCCTGTGCGTCCTGACGATGGCGCCACGGGCCCTGAGGGAGCGGGCCCGGTGGGGCCCTGACCCTGGTGGCTCATCAGCCCAGGTGGAGGGGTGGCTCCGGCCCCGCTGCCCCTCCAGGCGAAGGCCGCGCTGGGGGGGGTCCCAGGCCGGCGCCCCTTCCGTGGGCGGGGGACTCGTCAGACCGGGCGGCTTCCGAGGAAGCCGGCCCGGGAGCGTGGCTAGACACCTGCCCCAGGCGCCGCCCGCGAGCCAGACGCGCTTCCGCGTTGTTCGCGGGCCTGGGGCGTGCGTGGACCCCGGCTCGGCCCGCCCCTCCGCTTCGCCGGGCCCCGCCCACACCTGGGCGCCGCTGGGGGCGGGG